GGAAACTCAAACTCACACAGCTTAGTAAGTGATAGATCCTGATCCTGGCTCCAAAGTCCAAACCCTTAATCACTGTTCCACCCAGTTGCTGTTCTTTGCTCTTATTTTCTTTTCAGTTTATAGACCTTTTTAAGATCCATTTGAAAGAAAATCATCTCAATATCCATGCCTTATTCACCAGAAATAGAAGAATGGAAAAACGTGGAGAACTCTAGCATGGGAAATACTTCCCAGCTCTGCCACTAAATTATACATGTGACTTTGGAGATCTTCTCTCTGGACCTCAGTTTCAATTCCATGATCTCCAAGCTATCTTCAGCTCTAAGGTTCTGATGTCTTTTTTTTTTTTCATTTTTCTTTTATTATTCATATGTGCATACAAGGCTTGGTTTATTTCTCCCCCCTGCCCCCACACCCCCTCCCTTACCACCCACTCCACCCCCTCCCGCTCCCCCCCCTCAATACCCAGCAGAAACTATTTTGCCCTTATCTCTAATTTTGTTGTAGAGAGAGTATAAGCAATAATAGGAAGGAACAAGGGGTTTTGCTGGTTGAGATAAGGATAGCTATACAGGGCATTGACTCACATTGATTTCCTGTGCGTGGGTGTTACCTTCTAGGTTAATTCTTTTTAATCTAACCTTTTCTCTAGTTCCTGGTCCCCTTTTCCTATTGGCCTCAGTTGCTTTAAGGTATCTGCTTTAGTTTCTCTGCATTAAGGGCAACAAATTAAGGTTCTGATGTTTTATGAGCCCTTCTAATACTGAGTGGTCAGAAGTCAAGCTGAATAACCACAGCCTGATATTTTTCACCAAATAGTTCCTTTCCTTTTATTTATTTATTTATTTATGTTTAAAAAGAATGATAGCATATACTAAAGGCCACTATAAACATATTATTAATCTACTTTCTGCATTCTGGAACCAAATTTATTTACTCATGTATTCTCTCTATACATACATAATGTTCTCCTTATCACCTCTACCTAGCATCTTGGCCACTGGCCTATAAACAACTCGTGGTTGCACTTGTCATTTGACTTTCCTCAAGATTTCTACTAGAAATCCAGAGCTATCAGAGTGGCTCAAGTAATAAAAGCACCTGTTTAGTAAGTGTGAGACCCTGAGTTTAAACCCCAGTGCTGCCAAAAAAAAGTAGAAATCCTAGGTCTTAACTCTGAAAGCATCAAACATAAAATACTTGGTTAAGGAAGCCCTCCTCCTTTGAGTAGCTAGGCAATCTGTGAATGAATTTTTCCCCGTGTTTCTAGATAAGAAGGGAGTATTCATGGCCTCAGCTCTTGGAGAACTTACCGCATGCAATAATATCATGGATGTTCATTTTACTGCTTTATGTATATTGTCCAACTCTGAGCTTTGAATTAGTATGTGTTCCTGAAATAATGCAAGTCTTCAATCAACGAGTTCAATTCAGACAGTACCTAAAACATGGTACAGTGGAAGTCTATAAAGACAAATAAAAGGGGATCCCTGTCCTCAAAGAATTCACAATTGCAGGGAAAGACAGGAAGAGTATGTAAGTCTAACACAAGAGATTATATGCATATTGCAATAAAAGTGATTGTAGCAATTACATACTTAATGTAGGCTTTACCATGTATTCAGGACTATGTGATATACATGGTAAACATGTGATTATTAGTGATCTTTAACCACTGAGTATAAAAACAAAAGGGGGGTGTGTGTAGGTTATACTAGTGAGAGTTGTGAGGAAGAGGCAGGACTTAAGCTAGATGCTATTAAGGATGGATAACATGAATATAGATTCTCAGAGGAAGGAAATAGCATTCAGATAAAGGTATGGTCTATTTGTTTTTTGTGATACTGGGGCTTAAACTCAGGGCCTACACCTTGAGCCACTCCACTATCCCTTTTTTATCTTGGGTTTTTTTGAGATAGGGTCTTGGGAACTATTTGCTGGGCTGGCATCAAACCACAGTCCTCCTGATCTCTGCTTCCTGAGTAGCTAGGATTACAGGTGTGAGCCACCAGCACCCAGCAAGAGGTACAGTCTGAATGTTATAAGAAGACTAAGGGGGCCACCCATTCTGAAGCATAGGGTGGATGGACATTGTGGTTGTGGGCAGTAGTGCTAAGAGAGGTAAAATATAACTTTGCACACTTGATATAATAGGAAATAACTATTAATATTATAGTATTGAGTTAACATTTACATAATAAAGGACAAATTTTAGAAAGATTACTCAAGTACTTATATGCAGACGCAAATTATATTTGAAGAGATAAAAAACTGGAAAGAAAAACAGAAAGCTGGGTATGTGTCATAATGGGTTCATAAGTGGCAGTAACTGTACAGAATAGTCAGGACAGATCAAAACCAAGATACAGTTTAAATTAACCAGAAATAGTCCCACTGACTAGAGAGATCTGGGAACCATTAAACCCATGAAAAGTGGAGGAAATAATTAAGGGAGAGAATAAAACTAGATAAAGGAGATAAATATGTAGAATTTGGAATCACATTAACAGTGTTGATATGCATCCACATGGACAAGGAAAGGAATGGTGAAAGAGAAAAGTCAGAAGGCCAGGGATCAAACATCAGAAAACACTCATAGTTCAGGGGAGAAGATACAAAAATACTGTGACTGAGACAGCATTGTCCCTATTTTACAGGCCAAGGCAGGGGTGGTGGTGTGGTAATGTGACTTATGTCAGGTCACAAAACAGTCATGACTCAACTTAAGTTCTTCTAGATTCCACACTATACTCTTTTCTCTACTCTTCCTAATCTCTGAGAAAGTGGCTAGACAGTGTATATATCCTGCCATAGTCACTTTACATAGTATCAAGGGTTTATGTGGGAACCGAGAATTTTAAAAGAAAGGAGATCTTAGACAAGACAGGAAGAAAATCACAGCTGAGCCAGCTAGCATACACTACAACTAAAATGACATCATTTTTGGTTCAAGTAGACATCCACTGAATAATCGTGAAACCATTATTTCATAAGCAATGAGAGCAGATGGGATGGGGGAAGCAGTATAGATGCAGATGGTAGGTGAATTAACTGACAAAATTCTACCTTTGCCTTCTTTTATGCAGAGCCTAATGTAGGTTCTCTGCATTTTTTTCAATTCATTCCTCACCAGGTGAGCCTACGCATGCAGCCTTAGCTTATTCTCACCCTAGGAATGAAACCATAAGGAAATTGGTAATCAGGTTTTTCATTTCAGCCATCATGTCTGCAAGAATATAATTTTAATTCAAATAATTGCTTCACAGAAGTATTCTGTGCCAAATAAGAGTATGAGTCACAGTGGGAAAAAAAGTAAAAGAAACCCACTTAGCAGGAATCCTAAATGTCAACTTTTGGACAGTCTCACTGCCAAACCACACCTAAAAAACTTGAGAGCCAACCATGAGTGAGGAGTGAGCATCAAAAGACTGAGCATTACTTCTCAGGAGCAGCAAGGCAAAGAAGTTTATTGTACTTCCAGAATTGTCTTTCCCTCGGTCAATTGCCTTCTTGGCAGAAATTATGGATAGGTTGGGTAAGATATTTTCTTAAGTACCTGCTGCTTCTTTTTCTCGTTGTCTGACAAACATGAGTTACTCTATTATCTCTCACCAAAGACCTGACTACTGCTGATTTCTGTTCAGGCTCAACAGCAAGAATACTCTAAGGCTGAGATTCTAGACAAAACAGAATCCTGTGTCCATCATAGGGCCATAATTACAAAGACAGCCATTCCCAGCACTTTTACTTTTTCCACTGTTCCTGGAATAAAGCAGCTTTGTGTCTGGAATTTGTTTAGTCAACTCTGGCATGAGAGTTTTCCAGCCTGGGTGTTGCAAAGGTAACCCACCCTGGCTGGTTGGCCTTAGTTTTCAGAGACCTCATACTTTTGGGAGCACTCTAAATGGCACAGTGGTTTCATAAAAGAAATGTACGAGGCAGAAATTATAGGGGATGACCACTGTCAACTTTCTTATCTCAAAGTGCCAAGTACATTATTATGTTGGGAGTGTGAGGAAAGTGATTATCTGCACATTGAGTAAGCTGACTTAGAGTGCACTTTGCTTTTCCAAAAAGCTGGAAGTCAGAAATAAAACATTTGTACCACAAATGATGTGGCTTGTTAATCCCAAAGCCTTTTATTTTCTAGATACCTCATTTCTTTTTAGAAATACACCAACACCTAAAATACTATAATAGCTATCTCAATTATGTCCAGTGAAATAACAGCAAGACAGGGTAATTTTGTGAGTAGCAAGACCCAAAACATTCCATTAAAGCCAGATGATGTTGAGCTGCCATCACAGCTATTTAAGTCAAATACCAGCCAATATTATGGATCAGATAATGCTGATAAATGGAATAATTCTATTCATAGTATAGCAGGCCTATTGCTCTTAGAATGTAAATGTCTGAGCTGTTTGTAAATGCCTCCATGTAGCACACCAGTTTTTAGAGATTTGTAGATATCTGCCTTCCTCCAGGGATTGGACAAGAAGGAAAAATGCCACTAAATGAATAGTTACCCACATAAGACACAGAAGCATTTGATCACCATCTTAGTCCATTTTCTGTTACTGTAACAAATTACCTGAGGGTAGGTACTTTATAAATTAAAGTGGTTTGTTTGGCTCCCAATTCTGGTGGCTAGAATGTCATAAACAGTATGGTGCCAGTGACATGGCAAAGGCCCTCTAGCTCTATTACAACATGGTAGAGAAATGGCCATGTTAGAAGGATCCAAGCACCTGGAGTGGCCTTGCTTTACAAGAACCTGCTCTTAAAAGAATTAGCCAAGGTTCCACAAGAACTACATTATCCCCTTATGAGGGCAGAACCCCCAACAATCTAATCACCTTTCACTAGGCCCCTCCTCTTAAAAGTTCTACCACCTCAACACCACCACACTGAGTACCAAGCTTCCAGCACATCAGCATTTAGGTGACATGCTCAAACCATATCCAAACCATAGCAATCACTTTCACTTTTCAATCTTACAGATTATCCAGAAGTCTCATCATCTCTTGCTGTGGAAACAGAAACGTAGCAGTTTTCATATTTCCTGCATCTCTCAGACAGGTCAGTATTCTGATGGGGGGGGTGCATTCAGTAACACCTAGATTGCAGCCTTGGGAGCAGAAATAGAAAAGGAGTAAGTTCTCATTCTGGTGAACGAGGTATCAAATTCTTCACTCTCATTGCACACATAAGCAAAAGTTCTATACATAATTTCCCTGTGCAATGTACTGAAAAAAATGTCTTTATTCCTTCTAAACTCACATTTGCATCACTTGTGCTAAAAGACCCCCAGGAATCCAGAAACAGCCAAACATTCTGTTCAGGTTATTTACTTTCATACTGTGAATGATAAACCTTGCCATGGTGCATTCCAGGTCTCTAAAATAATACAGATTTTAAATAAGTTCTTTTTGCCTGACTCCATTATGTCACTTAATAACCTACTCTTACCACTAACAAGCAAAACACACCGTCCCAACACTCCAACACTCCTAAAATGCTACTAATTTGCAATCAGTGACAAGCAGTTTTACACGTGGGATTCTCTTTCACCTAGTGAAAAGCTGAATGGCCTTCTCTTTTCAACACTTACAAGTAAACAAACCCAATTGAACAAACCCTTCAATACTAAAGGGTGATTTTTTTTTTTTACTTTAGAAATACCATGGAGCTCAAAGCTTTCATCTAGTAAGACTTCCAATTCCTTTACCATGAGAAAGCTAGCAATTATCCAGAAGCCTACCAGTTTGTTTGTGGGTTCTCAGGTCTTAATTCTTTCCCTTACAAGACTTCTATTATGTGCTGTGTACACGTATACATACTGTATGAGACTTTGTGTAGGCCAGCATTTTGCTATGGACTTGGAGTGTGTTATCTCATTTAATTCTCACATCAACTCTGTGAGGTAAATGATACTATTCCCAATTATAAAAAAACTGAACTCCAGAGAGGTGTAAACCACTTATCTGAGGTTACACAGCTAGTAAGCGGCAAACCTAGGATTACAAGCTAGGGCTGTCTGACTTCAAATCATGATATTTCCACTGTGGCACAAAGTGTAAAAAATAACCTATTTAATATGCAGCTTCAGTTATAATCAAAGTTTTAAAAAGGGAAGAATTAAGTCTGTTTTCTTATCTAATACTTCGATGAAATGTTTAATATTTACATAAGACAGCTTGTATAATAGTAATATCTAGATTTCAATGATCTATGGTGCTCATTGCTCATTAGCATTTTGCCAAGGATATTCTCTGAAACACTAGTATTTTGACATGTTAACAACGTTAAAGGAAAAAAGTTGTTTGGTGGATAAACTTAGGGAGTTGTCCTTAGTGTATGAATGACCATGTAACTTGCCTTTTTTAGAGCATCTTGAATGAATATTGAACCATGAAAAACATTTTATGTGTTTCCCTAAATAAGCAAAAGTGCCTTTAAGTAATGACTTTTCCAGAGCACACTGTCCAAATAAATTAGCTGATTAGCTTTGTGGGAATAACAAAGCCATGTTCTGATAATAAAGTAAGAATGTTTGGGAACACAGGAGAGAAGAGTCAGAGAAATATTTTACATCATATCAAGAGATGAAGACTTTTTAAACATATTCAGATAATAACTACAGTGATATTTGTAAAATCTCCAAACTGAAAACAATTTGAATATATCAATAAGAGAATAATTGAGTAATTTATATATGTCCAAATTATTATATATGTTATACATAATGTCATTTGAAAAGCTTCTTAATTAAAGAAAAAGATGATGGATAAAATGAATACCCATATGTTTATAACTTAGAATTAACACATGCTGACATTTTTTCATTTTGTCTCAAATTTTTATATATAAAAAGAAATTATTTCCATAATTTTTACATAAAAATATACTGATTCTAAATGATATTTACTTCAAAATGAAAAGACAAACTTGGAAAAGACATTTACAAGATATACACCATACAAAATTTAACATCCTTAATTTTGGAAGCTTTTGCAAATCAGTAAGCAAAAGAAAAACTAACAGTTAGAAAATGGGCAAAGGATGTGACAACATAATCAATAAAATTAAAATGGAGAATAAACATGAAAATTGCTCAACTTCACTGTAAAGAAATATGAATTAAAATAATGTAAAATACCAATTTGTGTCTATTAAATCAGCCAATTTTTACAAATTACAGACTTACTGTTGGTAATGTGTTCAATTAGGTGTTCTTATGCATTGCTGATTAAGTTTAAATCCATGCATTGTTTTTTTAGGACAATTTGGTGAAATGTATAAAAGCCTTAAAATGTTCATACAATTTTATCTGACTGTATGAACAATCCTAAAACTGCATTTTAGGAATACTTGTTAATGAAACAATCAGAGATTGTTAACTATTTGATAAACTATTGTTGGTAAACTATTTATCATAGGTTTATTATATTGTCAGAAAATTTGAACCAAAACTAAATATCTACCAATAGGAGATTGGTGAAATAAATGGCTATATCATTAGGATGAAATATTATACAAATATTAAAAATAATTATTTTGAAGAATAATTAATAGAATTATGTGAAAAGGCTATATGAATCCATGTTAATTTTAATTTTTTTGTGGTTCTGGAAATTAAACCTAAGGCCTCTTGAGTACTAGACAACCACTGTAGAGTGCTAGACCCCTAGCTCTAAAATTAAAAGTACATTTTTGTCAGCTCTTTTGAGATGCAATTCACGTATTATATAATTTGACTACATGAAATTCTTTGGCTTTTAGTATATTCACAGAGCTGTGCAACCATCACTAAAATCAATTTTAGAATATTTTCATTCCCCCCAATATAAGCCCCATATATATAATCAGTCGTATTCTATTCCTCCCACTCGCATATTTAGGTAATCACTAATTTACTTTTTGGGAAGTTTTGGTTTTTTGAGACAGGATCTTGCTATATAAACTAGACTGGCCTTGAACTTGGAATCCTCCTGTCTTAGCCTCCCAAGTGCTAGGATTACAGACATGTGCCACCATTCCTATCTCACTAATCTACTTTTTAGCACTATGGATCTACCTATTCTGAACATTTCATATAAATGGAATCATATAATAGGCAGTCTTTGGGGAGAAAACATTTGTAAGTCAAATATCTGATAAGAGATTTATATGCAGAATATATAAAGGACTCTTACAATTCAATAATGAAAACAGAAATAATCGAATTTTTTTAATGGGCAAATAATCTACAGACATTTTGCCAAAGAAGATATACAAATGACCACCAAACACATGAAAAGATGTTCGATCTCATTAGTCATTAGGGAAATGAAAATGAAAATCACAGTGAAATATCATTTAACATCTGCTAGGATGGCTGTAATCCAAAAGATATAATAATGGGTGTTGGTGAGGATGGGAGAAATCAGAACCCTCATATATTGCTTGTGGGAATGTAAAAATGATGCAGTCACTTTGGAAAATAGTTTGGCAGTTCCTCAAGACATTAAACATAGAATTAGCATGTGACTCAACAATTTTACTCCTAGGTATATAAACAAGAGAAATGAAAACACATGTCCACACAAAAGTTTGTACATAGCATTTCCATAATGGCAAAAAATGGGAAAAACCCAAGTGTCCATCTACTGATGAACATATAAATAAAATGCCATATATCCACACAATGTAGTTTTAGTCAACAACAAAAAGATACATGTTGCAACTCAAATGAACCTTGAAAACATAAAATTATACTTTAATTTAAAACTTTTAAGCATTAAGATATATATAGAAAAACATTGAAAAGAAATATGCCAAAATATAACTAAACATAAAAATTTTATTTCTCTGTTCACCCAAGACACTTTAACTTCTCTTTTGCCAATATTCTCATCTCACTACCTACATTTCCCTAGCCAGCAAAAACCCAAATTCCAGATTTACTCCAACTGTCTACCTTTTCCACTTCTACATACAGGGTGCTGAGAAATACTACAAATATTACAAAATGGCTTATAAATACCTATTACTACTTATTACAAATGACATGACTGAAATTACAGATCTGTGGTCTCCAGCCTCAACTAACCTGACAAGTCTTTCTTCATTACTTACCAACTTTACTCGTACTTCTTTCCTTCATTAGTCACACCTTCATACTTTTTTTTCCTATCACTCCTATCCCATATCATATTGAAAGTCCTAATATATAATAAGGCTAGAAAAAGAAGCAAAAGGTGTTCTAATGGGAAAGGAAGAAATAAAACTACTCCCCTATTTTACATGACATGAATGTATAGATAGATAGATAGATAATCCAAAGAAGCTACAAAAACTACTAGAACTAATAAGTGAGTTTAGCAAATTCATAGCAACAAGATCAACAAATATCTGTTGTGTTTTTATATACTAGCAATGTACATTTGTAAATCTAAAATTAAAACCTACCATTTACAATAACTCCAAAAAGTTAAAGAGCTTAGTATAAATATAACAAATCATATACAAGACCTACATGCTGAAATCTACAAAACACTGATAAAAGAGACCTAAATAAATGGAAAGACATATCAAATTCATGGCTTAGAAAACATGATATAATTAAGATATCAGGTCTCACCATCAGGCATGGTGGCATGTGCCTGTAGTTCCAGCACTTGGGAGGCTGAAGTGGGAGGATTGCTGGAATGCATGAGTTTAAGACCTGCCTGTGCAGCATAGTGAGACCTTGTCTCAAAAAATCAATTCTCTCCAAATTGATATACAGACTTAATTCAATCCTAATGAAAATCCCAGTAAGACTTTTTGTAGACATAGACAAGCTGATTCTAAAATTTATATGGGAAAGTAAAAATTAGAATGGCCAAACAATTGTATAAAAGAAAGCCAAAGTCAGAGGACTCAAACTATCCAATTTTAAGACATAGTATAATGCTATAGGATTCAAGACAGTGTAATATTTGCAAAAGGATAGATAGGCCCTAAACCAATTAAACAGAATAAAATGCAAAATACAGAAATGGTCCCACATAAAGATGATTGATTGTTTTCACACAAAGGTGTAATGTCAATTCAAT